GTTTTTCACATCTGTAGTATGTTCTGTTTATAAATTTTGTATTAGGTTTTGACACAAATAGATGTAGGTGATACAAAGTTCACCGAGTCATCTAATTTAATATATCTATAAATATTTAGGATGCTATCATTACCACTTAAATTTTTAAATTTCAATTTCGTCTTAACTGCTTTATTCATGTAACTAGTTGCCCATACGGTTACTGACATTTCGTAGCCTTGGAACTCGAAAAAGGTGATCACCTACTTATCTACAAATACAGATCCCACCTACCTCTTTTCAACACCGTATTAGCCGTATGAGTTCTAAATTCCACCAACATCACCTTGATGGCTGGAAGTCTTCTACAGACCGTTTCACAAGGTATTTTCTTTTGCGAACTAGCGAACTGTGGAATCGACTCCCGGTGGGGGTCTTCCCTCAGACGACCTCCAAATGTTAGAAAATCGAGTATACTCCTCCCTCAAAGGTCGGCAATGCACCCACTAAAAATGGGCTGCGATAACTGCCCTTTTTGGGCGTCCCGAGAGCTCGTTTGCCCCCCTATTTATGGGTTGTTATTATAATTCTTCCGTATATTTCTTACGATACAAATTCCTTATTAACTAGTTAGTCCAAGATATTTACCTTGGTTAAATCAATGAAACCAAACCCTAATGAATCCAGAATCGAATCGCTCCGAACTTTGACGTACCGTCAACGTTTGAGTTTGATACAAGCATGGAGGTCAATTATTGAATTTCATTCGGTAATTCTAGAATATTTTTGAAGTTATACTTCTTTTGGCGCGTTGGGGAAAAATTACCAGAGTAAATTTTAACCCAATTTTACGATGCGCCGTCACATAAAACCGACACCCTGATGTAAGCTATAGTCAATATTTTAGTTTTTATGAAGTTAGATTTCTTTTGGCGCGTTAGGGAAAAATGATGAAAGTATTTTTTTTCTGTTGTTAGTGTCGTTTTTTCTACAAACGTAGAATAAAAAAAAGGGTGCGTGTACTTATGTACGCGCGTAAGAAGTTATACTTCTTTGGCATTATTAAAAATAGTTTTTGATTGCATGCAAATTATTAATTACAATTAAATAATCAAAGACTGGAAAAGGAGTCATTAAAGTCAATAAAGTTCAGTTTACATTTGAAAAATTAATTAAATAAATATTTATTATTATTCTCTTACATTAAACAAATAAAACACTATTTATCTTTAAAACATTTTTATTTCATTATACTATTTATTTTTAAGTGACTCTAATGTCTTCATCAGAATTTCGGTTTGTAATTTTAAATTAATCATTACTTGGTTGTGCATCTACGAGGCTTCTCCAAAACTAAAACTACTACTTGCTTCTGCAACAAATAAGAGAATATTAATTTAAGCTCTGTCCATGCAAAACTTAAAATTTTTTATAATTCATATTATAAAATTTTTAACACATTTATATTAATATAATTATATAAATGTGTTAATAATATAATTTGTAGCACATGCTACAGACCTGGATAGCAACTTTCTTTTATTCTATTTAGAGATAGAGATAATTTAAATATAATACCGGTGTCTTCCTTGTAGGTTTCTTTTGAGTTGTTTGGGGATTCTTGTTGTTCAGTTCGACATGATTTTCTTTAACCTTTTTTTAATCCTACAAAATAATGAAATTCTTAAGTTATGTTGTCACTGTTGTGCACACCTTTGTTTGGCATTTTTAGTATTCAAGTTATGTCAAAACTGATTTATTACCTTGTCATTGTTGGCTTTATTTGCTTTTGGGATAGCAATTGTTTCCAAAATGATTTTATTTGTAATATCCTGAAATATATAAATAACATCTATTAATTTAAGTATCATGGTGAGTGGTTCGCACTCAGGTATTAAGGTGTATTATACCCACTGTCCATTATAAGTGGGAATGGGCTCACATCTGGCTGGACAGAGTTTCGGTACTACAAGAGCAACATGGATGTTTTGAGGTATTACAATATCTCTAACTACCCTGTAGGGGAATAAAGTATGTGCCTATGCTTGAGAGGTTGAACCTTGAACATCACCATCATATTTATAATTAACATTCCTACCTCGACACCATCACAATCAAATTCATTGAAATCTACTTCAAACCGTTGCGGTATAATCTCTGCCATATCCATTGTGTCTGGAGAAGGTGATGGTGGCTTTGTTCCACCTCTAGTTTTTGATGTTTCACGGCGATAAGATGACAACTCTTTTTTTTATTCAATTTAGTGCACTTCCACTGATTCATCAATTGTTTTTTGTCTCTTGTCCTTATATTTGCTAGATTAAATCTGAAAAATCCATGTTTTGATTAAATAATGTAATCATTTTTTTGAGATACAGGTACTTATTAAAATGTTTACTTCTCTGTAATATCGCTCCAAGCCTTCATTTTCTCCTTATTAGTATTCGTGCTTAAATCTTTGTTCTCAATTATTGATATATAGGGTCGTAGAATATTTCAAAAAGTTGCTGTAACAAACGCAATAAACAAAAGCAATGAATAATGGTTCATGTTTCAGTTTTAATCAACAATAATACTCGATAATACATACGGATAGTTAACCTCAATTGTATTGAAGCACTCAGGAAGTTCGGCACAGTTTTTTCACAAATATTTTATCATATGAATTAGTATTGATTTAGATATTCAATTTAAATCACTTCTGATTATAATTCAGACGCAAATATAAAATTCGCACTTGTATAATAAAAATAACTAGGTATATAATCTTTAAAACTAATTAATACTCCTATATTTGTTTCAAATGTCATTGTCAGATGTCATGGTCATTCAAAATTCTTGTTAAGCTGCTAAGCTAAGAAATAGAATATGCGTGAAGTTAGCTTCACGCATATTCTATTTCTTTTTACTTGTAGATTGCGCAGTGCGCACGCTATAATCACACTCCCAATTTTGTGTCATAGGTGCGCGCGCATCGTAAAATTTCACTCTCATCAATTTTTCATAACGCGCCTAAAGAAGTATAACTTCAAAAATTATCTTGTTACGCCAAAGAAGTATAACTTCTAACGCGTGTACATATGTACACACACGTTTTTTTTAAATAACGCCGGCTAGTCCTGAATTTGTAACATCATATTTACTGGTTTGCTTTATAAAAGTTAGTTAGTTGAAACAAAGCCAATATCAAAATTTCCATGGGATTTGCTAAGATTGCACTGTATACATTTTTATTCAAAACTCTCTAATAGCAAACTGTTTTAATTTTGTATTTTAATACTGTACTATACAAGATATAACTTTATATATCTAATACGTATTTTGTCGACATCGCTTATTAATTAGTTGTTAGATTGTTGTCATGACAACGAAACAAGACGAGCAATTTAATTTAATATTTCTGTGAATTTTCCATATTTCTCTTACAAAATAATGATGATAATGAGATCAATTGAGTTAAAATATTTCAAGAATAAAAAGCCGGCTACTCGACTATCTGGAAGTTATTAGGAGTTTTTTAGCTCCAGTACCTTTGGTGTAACCGTTAAGGTACCATTCAACCATAATAGCATGCAGTACATTTGTTTATAGTGCAAAACTATAGCAGAACACGTACTAAGCGTTTGGCTTCTGTCTCCATCAGCAATGCTGTGTGTGACTTCTGCGAGAATACAGTGTTAAACACTGAAGATTTTCTGCCGACTGTTGCTAATGTTGACGGACAGGAAAACATTGTGCTCTGTGTTGAAGCCTGTGTTTTTATGCTGTGCGCGCACATTCAATTGTTTTCGCCTTGGTAGCCGATACAAGACTAAGATGTCATGTAGAACATGGTGTAATGGTTGCAGCTCCTTACAAACGTTGTGTAAAAAAATCATGGCGATTAAAAAGAGTGGCGGAGAGTTTATTGCCAGTTCTTCTCTTCCGTTCTACGCCCTTGATTTGAGGACTGGCAGTAAATGTAAAATTAGAAGCATTAATATGTATTTCTTTAATGACGATTCACAAGTGTACATTGTGTTACCTACGTGAATAAATGATTTTTGAATTTGAATTTGAAAAAGACTGAGTTCTTTAACAATGAGTATGAGGGCGACATAAGTTCGCAATATTCGCGCGCAATTTGTTATTGTTCGCTTGAGTGAGTCGATCAAAACAAACATTTGTGCCGTACGCTGTGCAACTCTGTGCCACGCTTTTCAGCACACTGGTAGAATTGTACCTTTAGGATTTTTTTTATAATTCAAAATACAAACAAATGAAGTTCGAAAATTGTGCCTTGGAACTCTGGCGTACCACTACTATGAACGTTTGACTTACACACATACCCTGATTGGCATTTAATTGCTCGTAACGTTGTATTAGTTCAATGAATACCTCGTTGACTACCTGCAAACTTGATCTGAATGTGTCACGTGAGTTATTGTATACGGAATATATAATATATTATCTTTTAGATTGTTTCAATACTACTTTGAACGTAACATTTCCGTTAATGGAAATCACACAGTACGTCAGCTTAAAGTTAGACACACATTGTTGAGGAAGCACATACTTACGTAACATTCAATAGTAATCTTTCTAGTAACAGAAAAAGAGATATAGTTGATACGTCCCTATTAAAATCAGTGGTGCTACAACCTATTTAGGTCTGGGCTTCAGATTTCTGTATCTGTTTCATGATCATTTGTCATCTAATAGGCAAGTAGGAGATCAGCCTGGGTCTGACGCACGCCGTCGACTATTTGGGTCTAAGGCAAGCCGGTTTCCTTAAGATGTTTTCCTTCACCTTTCGAGCGAATTTTTAATGCGCACATAGAAAGAAAGTCCATTGGTGCAAATGTTTAATGCGCACATAGAAAGAAAGCCGGGGATCGAACCTACGACCTTAGGGATGAGAGTCGCATGCTGAAGCCACTAGGCCAACAAATTCAAATTTCTATTAAAACTACCTTTAAAACGCAAGGTATCTACGTTATAATATAGTAAAAAATCCTCTATACTTGCTTGGTCTTCAAGTGTTAATGCAACAACTGTACATAGTACAGTTTTGTATCTTGGGTCGTGGCATCTGCTGCGCCCTCCCTTGCAAGAGATGCTCCCGATGGGTGGTGTGGGGGTGTGCACCCTCCTGATACAGGCGGTACGAGGGCGAGATATTTAGCACTTGATGGGTGCTTCAGGGCGCGAGGAGACAAGAGCTCCACTCGAAGCGCGCATTCGAAGTCGTGTCGATGTCCGGGAGTATCATGACCGTTGCTGGGGAGTCAAACGGGGTACAGTTCACCCTCGGTTGGCCCGGGGGTGAACTGTACCAATGGCGGATCTAATAACTGTACATTACATATTCACACACACATACACACATGCACAATTATTATTACCATATGATTTAATGGGATCTTTTTTGTTTTTAAGTTAAAAACTTAATGGGATCCTTAATATTTGCCTTAAGTTATTAAACGAAATTTTAACAAAGATTGCCAAGTGGCTTTGTGCACTAAACTATAAAACTGAATTACTTGTACAAGACTTATCTAATCATTTTTAATTATCAAAATGCTGGCCGGCAAAAATTATATCTGGCCGTGTGCAGGCGAAAAGTGAGTCAATAAAAATATTTAATTATTACACGTTAATATTTTAATAATTATTTGAACTAGAAGTGTTTTTTATTATTCAGAACACACAGTCCAAAGTCACTTTTCCATCCAAGTTATTTCTCAAGAGTAAATTTTCTTATAATTAAGAAGTATTCGCCCCTAACTCGTTGTACTCTACGGTTTTAGTCACGTGCGTGTTTAACATCACAAGTTGGGCAATTTGCATACAAACTTACTCGTCAAACTGAAGGGTAGGGGACATCTGTTACACCTGGGATGTGTAATTTAAAAATGAGACAAAGTTAGAACTAGTTTAAAAATTATATTTTTTTTTCATCTTTCACCATCTGTATTTAGCTTGATAGTCGCTCCGTATGGTGTAATGGTTTCTCGAGCTGACGTGTGACTGGCTGGCTGGAGTGGATTTTAATTACATTTAATTCAATAAGAACCAACACACAACAGATCAACGGAGCGTCTAACTGAGTCCACACTACTTTAATTAGAACCTAGTTAACCTGGAACAGGGATTTGAATTTGGAATGCAGATATTAATAGAACCTTAACCTTTCTATGACATAAATAATATGACAACGTAGTTGTCAAAAAATAATTGACGCGCGGACCAAATAAAGTAAAAACGTAAAAAAATTGCTCAATATGCATTCTTACTTGTATTAGAATTAGAACTGCCACCAAACCACTATTAGACAGGAACACGGAGACGAAAGTATTAAATGTATTACTTTACACCTAATTTTTTTGCTTCAAAATAAGAAAACATTACTAGTATTTTAATTTTTTAACATTTTTGTTTACCAAAATTGTCGTTTTTTAATACATTTAAACATAATTTTTTTTTAATTTTTTTTATATAAGTCTTTATCTTGCAATCAGTCAGCTAGACTATGATCAGATGTGTTGAGAGCTGTTAGACGTTCAGAGCAAAATCTCCATCGAGACTGCTCCTCTCTTTCAACCGTGTCTATCAAGACTTAGGATTTGTCGCCTTTTCAACAAAACAAAACATAACTTAGTAACATATATTGTGAATGTAGTATGTATGTGGTTCCCGCGTGTTTGTGCCGTGCGTGGGGACCCGTACGGGGGGATGAAGGAATCCTGGGGGTTGAGTGGAGTAGTGCGCCGGAACAGTTGTGCGCTGCACACAACACACCTCTTTGGTCTGGATTTCTCCTCACACGGGAGGCCGGGGTTTAGCTAACCACGGTCAACCGGCTGTGGCATCCCATAAGCGGGCTGCCGAGCGAGAGTCGGGATGTGGGGGGGGGGCCGTCGGCGCGGTACGGGACTCGGGGTGAGTTTGCGTCATAGTCTCGTGGCGTGAACAGCTCCGTACTTCCTTGCTGCGTGCGGATGCGTCTGCCTCCCTACGTGCTGGCTCTATACCGGAGGAGTAGCTCTGACGTCGCTTGCTGAGCAAGGGACGTCCCCGACGTGAGGGCTCCGTGGCGGGTGGAGAGCTCCAATGGTGAATTCAAACCATATCACCTCATGGATAAAGAGGCAAAAAAACTTAACAAAACTATCAATAACACCAACAAACCCAGGGTTGCGTCTTTGGACGTGTCGCGGTGCAAGTCACCAGTGGCGCGATACTCTGATGCCCCTGTCACACACACGGATGCACCCTCACGGGCAGCGTCCGGGACCCCAAAGGAGAGGGCAGCGGCTGGGGTTGCACCAATCCGGGCTGCACTCCGGCCCGTACCCAATCCGATGGAATCCCTTATACCACCGCACAAGGATGTGACCACTGCTGCGGCCAGGTTGACTGCGTCGGTCGAGCCAAAGATAGCAACTCCGGACGATGATACAGCACTGTCTGCGTCTGAAGGGGGTGCTTCCGCGGCAAGAACGATGCGGCAGACCGAGGCTGCGACGGAGGGCACGTCCAGTGCACTAACCACGACCATGGATATGTCGGCCCTGAAGACCGCAATTCAGGAGCCGACTTTCAAAATGGTCGTGAGCAACTCTAAAAGGCGACGGCACAGGAGAGCCATAAGGGCGCCGGAACAGCAGAAGCTGGTCACCGGCGCTCCGAGGCCACCTGTGAAACCTGGAACTGCCCCCGCTGTAACCACAGTTGAGAGAGGCGGGAAAAGGACACCGAAGCCTAAAAGATCCACTGCTGCGCCCGTGCCTAGCTGCTCTGGGTGCGGCAAGGGACTTAAGAGTTCCAAAACAAACCAATCCACGAAGGGCCAGAAGCGCGACCGGCCAGAGGAAACCGTAACACCGACTGGGGAAAGTAAAAGGGTCAAACCCAACAAACCCCAGACAGTGGCAGGGACCTCGGCCAGTTACGCGGAAGCGGCAGCATCATACAAAGCTAACGAGCTTTGTGTTGCCGTGATGACTGAGCCTTTCGTGGATATGACACAAGAACAGGCGGATAACATCCGCCTACAAATCGAGGGTAAAATTCAAGATGAGCTCCTGGCGGATCTTGATGCTACCCTAACTACCGAGCCCAACGACATCAGGTTCCGGGGTAAGGCCCATTTCTCGGATGGTGTCCTCAAAACTTGGTGCGAGGACACTTACACTCTGGGTTGGCTGACCGGAACTTGTGATGTCATCACAAATCCAGTACCTGACACCAGGTTGGTGGTTCGGCCTCAATCGGCGATTCCGAACAGGATTCCGTGTCTGCTACATGTACCAGACTACAGTGGCAACACGGAGACACTGAGGAAACTAACTGATCACGAGGCAAAACCGCCACCTCAACATCAGATCCTGGACCCTGACACACGAACGAAGAACTCAGGACCCGACAGGCGTGTCCCTCTTCTTTCGTGTGCCAGAGTTTGAGATCTCTAAAATCAAAGAGCATAATCGGCGTTTATACTACCTGATGGGGAACATCTATATCCGCATCCTGGATAGAGATGGACCCTCGCAGGTGGCCAACGCCCCACCAACTGCTGCCAGCACATCGGGGGTGGCGTCGTCGGGGCCGGGGCTGCCCACGTCTCTGACGGGGGCAGTTTCGGTCACCGGGGCACACGTCCCTATGGAGGTAGCTACACATCCACCGTCACCGGTGCAACTAACTTCGGATGATGAGTTGTTTCAGGAGACCGGGGGGAGTGAATTCAGCGACAGCTGTCTGCGCTCCTCCCCATCGCCGTACTGACCTCATCCAGGCTAACCTCCAGCACAGTCAGACAGCGTCGGCTTCCCTACGCAGACTGCTGGAGACCAATCCGAAGACCATCGCCGCGATCCAGGAGCCGTGGATCAGGAATGGCAAGATATGTGGCCTGGGCAGCACCGGTGGTAAACTTTTACTGGATACCTCCGTAAGTAACCCTAGAACTTGCATAATCTTGCCTAAAATAATCTGCCTGTCAGATCACATACAGGACTGGCACGTATCCAACGAGTTATCATGCTCGGATCATAGGTGGATCCGCTTTGCAATCAAAGGGGAGCTACCTAAACCTCAACCTAGACGTATACCGCGGAGAACCGATTTGGTAAAATTTTATAGACTTATCAGCTCCGAGGTAGACAAACTATCGATACCAACCACCATAAATATACAAGACATAGACAAACATGTAAACAACCTAACGTCCCTACTCCTGACAAGCTATGAACGGTCGTGTCCCCTTACCATACCAAGATGGGGAGGGAGACATAACTGGTGGTGCCCCGAACTGGAGAGACACCGACGGAAGGTCAGGAAGCGGTTCAATAGAGCAGTGAACACACGGCTACCCACCGACTGGGACAAGTACACGGTCGCGAGAAGGCGATTCAAAAAACTTTTACGTACTAGGAAGCTGGAGTGTTGGAGACACTTCTGCACCAGTATTGAAACCAACAACCAGGCAACCAGGGTGAAATCATGCCTCTCCAGAGAGCCCAATCACTCGATCGGTTGTCTTAAAAACCTGACAATTCATTTACAAAAACTGATTCAGAAACATGTGAACTACTACTGGCAACACACTTTCCGGGTTGCATAATTGCCAACGAACAGGCCTGGCAACCATACTCAGAGAGAGCCACCGACAGCTCAGACTGGCAAGTAGCTCACAAAATAATCACTAATGAAAAAGTAACGTGGGCAATCAACTCCTTCCTTCCATTCAAAGCGGCTGGTTTGGACGGCATCTTCCCAGGACTACTAAGATGGAGTGGGAACTTAATAGTAGACTATCTTGTCTCTGTCTTCCGAGCCTGTATAGCCCACCGATACATACCCTTGAAATGGAGAGAAGTAAAAATCTTATTCATCCCAAAACCAGGTAAAGAGGACTATACCCAGGCGAAGTCCTTCAGGCCTGTAAGGCTTTACTTCATTCTTCTTAAAAACGATGGAGAGGCTGGGAGACCTGGAGATTCGCAGCCGGGTATCGCTATCCAAATTCCTACACCCTAATCAACATGCCTATAGCTCGGGCAAATCAACAGACTCATCACTCCACAACGTCGTGTCTCGCATTGGCAACTCCCTGAAGTTAAAGCAGTCAACCCTTGGTGCATTCATTGACATCGAAGGTGCTTTTGACAAAACAAACTTCACGAGTATAACCAGAGCACTAAGGTCATGTGGAGTACCATCAACCCTTATAGAATGGATAAACAACATGCTAAAACAACGAGCTATACAGTTCACGGTAAACTCCACAACACGAGGCATTGTCAGCAGAGGATGTCCGCAGGGAGGTGTTCTATCGCCGCTACTGTGGAACCTTGTGGTTAATGAACTAATCACAGAACTCAACGCTGACAATCTCTACACTGTGGGATATGCTGATGACATAGCTATCTTGATATCTGGGAACTTTGAAAGCACCTTATGTGACCTCATGAGAAGAGCTTTCAAAGTGATTGAGAGATGGTGCAATGAGCACGAGTTATCTGTCAACCCATCAAAAACAGAACTAATACTTTTTACCAACCGAAGAGTTCTTGGACCGTACAAACTTCCGAAACTCTCCAACACTGAACTCATACTCAAGAATGAAATCAAGTACCTAGGTGTGATTTTGGACAGTAAACTGCTCTGGAACAAACATCTAGAACACAAACTAAACAAAGCAACGATCGCCTTTTATCAATGCAAAAAGATGCTAGGCGTGAAATGGGGCTTATTGCCTAAGATAACATTATGGATATACACTGCCATAATTAGGCCAATGCTAGCCTATGGAGCCCTTGTTTGGTGGCCCAGAACAGAACTTCAAACGGCAATTACCAAACTCGGACGCTTCCAGAGGC